TTAATCAATCGTCAAATCTCAAATTTGACCGGCAATTAAGAAGCTTAATCCTTTTTTTTAACTGCAAAAAATATCACTCTCTCCATTTCACTTCAAGCGATCACTTTGGCATTTTATAATAGATTAAAAAAATTGATTCATTTTAATTTTATAAAAAGCTCGCTACAATTTTTCTAAATATCAATTTATTAATCTTTTGTTTTAGCATTGGAGTGGAGAATTTAAATATGAATTTATTGTCAGGTCATATATGCATTTATGGTCAGGCTATACCTTAGTGTGCTAATCTATTGAATTAGAGTAGTCATTTTAGAGGAATTAATGAATAAGAGAAAAATGGAAAAAAAAATTATGAATAAAAGAAAAGTCGACACTTGAAGTGGAAAAATAAAATCAAAGTGGACAATTAAAGTGGAACAGATGAAATAAAGTATATCAACAGCAAAAAATTGGATAAGTTTAAATTATAGTTATATTCGACAACAACTTTTTAAATAGTTTTTAGCGTTTTGACAATGTTCAGCAACACAGCATTCGAGCTAATTTCAAACAGTTATGAAAAGCTACTCAAACAACTAAATGCTACTAAAACAATTAACAACTAATAAAATAATTAATTTTTTCAAACGGACCATCAATATATATATAATAAATTTTATAAATATTAATTGAGGTGGTTAATAAGCTTAATTTAAATAAATTTGACTTTAATTTCTGTAAAAAAAAAAAAAAAAAAATTTTCATGACTTTAATTTCTGTAAAAAAAAAAAAAAAAAGATTTTTCACTTCTTATGCGGAGGGAATTACATCTCATAAGTTATAAAAAAAACGGAAACAAATTCATCAAAAAAAAAAAAAAAAAAAGATTTTCACTTTATGACGGAGGGATTACATCTCATAGTTATTAAAAAAACGGAAACAAATTTCATAATGACCTTATGAGTATTAAAAAAAAGGGATAAGATCAATACATAGATCTCATATATTCTTTGGTTCATGCATCGAATCATTGTTGTAATCAAAATAATAAAAAAAGAGAAAAAACAAGTTGCTTGAATTAAAGCAAATGAAATTAATATTATATAGCCAAAAGCTTTGATTAATAGTATTCAATTCAACGGCTAATTTTCTATTATCTCCAAAACGACAAGCAGATTTTTTTTTAGTGAACAAATGATAGATACTGCCCTTGCATTCATGTGAAATAAAAAATAATATCAGAAATATCCATGCAGCCTCCTGATTAATTAAGCACGTGAGTATTTTTGTTATCTTATTATTTATTTTTTTTAATTAAGGGAAAAGAACTATTTAATCCCTTTGACATAGTCATAATTATAATTTCATCCTCCTTATTTAATCAATTTATCTATTAGTATATAAAATTTAGTTTTGTTAAACTATTTAGTCATTTTATTAAAAAAATATAATTTTAGAGATAAATACGCTATAATATTTGATTATTTGATTTTTCATATTTAATATATTTTTACTATTTAATTCTTTATATTTATTGAATTACTATTTAGTCTCTCATCTAATATAAAAAATAATATTTTTTTTAAATGGTGGACTAAATATTGTGATAGTGTATTTAATCAAAAGGATGATTAGAGCTATTGATTAAATTTGGAGGACTAATTAGCTATTTTTCCTTTTAATTAAATATATGTGTACTTTTTGTTTTTATATATATGGAGAGAGAGGTTTTCAAAATTTCTCAACAGAATCTCGTCTTGGTACTTTGTCGTTTAATAAAAAATTCTTGGAGAGGACTCAAACATTGCGGTTCGCCGCACGTGTTGTTGGTTGGCACGTGGTGACCTCAAGCTTATAAAAGGGAAAATTCTTTAGTCAGAGTCTAATTTGACCGTGGCAGTCAGCTTCAAACTTTCTGATTAGTTAGCCATTTCTTGAAGAATGTGCCATCTTATCATAAAATAACTCCAGAATTAAAAAAATAAAATAAAATAATTCAGCTGATGGCTTATAATTTTATTCTCTAAAAATAAAAATAGTTTCAATACTACATTATTAATAACAATAATAGAAGTGAGAAAATGTCAAAAAAGAATTAGGATAAATGCTCAATTTGATCTTGAATAATTATTTTATGTTCAATTTAATTTAAAATTAATTTCTTATATATTTAGTAAAAATAAAGAATACTAAGGTTTTTATTTTTTAAATAATAAAATTATTTAAAAATAAGAATTTAAGTTAATTTTTATGGAGATGTAAAGGTACTTAAATATCTTGTATAAGCAATATTTTGGGATTGTGAAATTAAAAACAATTGTTGTCAATTTATTTATTTATTTATTTATTTATTTATTTTCAGAATAGCTGTTGTCAATTTATTAGATATTGGAAACAAAAAATGAAAACTTTTGACATCAAAAACAAGATTTTGCGCTAACAAACTAAGAAGCTGACGCAGGAACAAACAATTTAGTTTTTTAATTTCAAAATAAGCAAAAAATTTATATATATTCCTACGCTATTTAGTTGGAAAGGGTACCATTTCCCCCCTACTTTTTGAGCCAACATGTGTCAGCTGCAAAACCTAATTCATGAATATGTATTATTAACCTAAACCTATTTTTGTAAAAGAAAGAGGTTTTTTAATCCAGATAGCTTCATCCACGGTTGAAGCATTAAATTCTACTAATCGCATGGTCGAGTCGGGAGTCGATCTTTGAAAGAGCTTTTAACATTATCGTTTTATGATCTAAGAGAAATTAGTTGTTTATAAACTGAGATTGATTTTCTAAATAGAAGAAAATGTTATCATAACAAGTCTTTATCGCTAGTTTTTTATATTAATTTTTTTAAATAATTTTCTAATATTATTTATTAGAATTCATGCATAGTTTATTAGCAATATGTTGATGGGAATGCTAATAGGCTTTAATCACTATAAAGAATGTTAATATAAATTCGATTTCATAAAATGCACCCATGGAGAAGAAACAAAATTGTAATTATTTTTCTTTTGTTTTTTTTTTATTATTTTTTGAGAATCCTATATAGTTATGGTTTTACCAAGATAAAAAAATAGAAATAGATGCAAATAGGGGCGACTTAGATTTATAAATATAAATTAAATACCTAGTAGTGGCGGAGTTAGAAAAGTTTTTCAGTGAGATAATTTATTTAATATGATTTTTAGTGGGGTCAATTAGATTAAAAAATTTAAAACTTTTCATTTAATATACTTTTTTTTTTATCAATTTAACCCTATTCTATAAGTTTTTTTAAAATTTAAGTGAGCTGAATCAATGAAGGTTTGCGTTGTAGAGAATCGAACCCATGATCTAAATCACAATAGTCAACTCTACAAATACTTTTTGCTATTGAGCTAACCCATTCGAATTAAATACTAGTATACCTTGATCATTAACAACTTGGCTTATGCATAGAAAATAAATAGCAACTATGAGAATGAGAACACAAATTGCTTAATTGGTAGTATATCTTTGTATCCAACCTATATTATTTTAAAATTTAAGCCGCAAATTTTCACAAAATGAAAGTGATTGGCTGCAAGTGGTTTTCTCACCAACCAATAATATAAGACCTTTAAAATCCCAAATTAATATTATAGTACTAATATTTGATAATATTATATATTAGTGCTCAAAAATTAGATTATGTAGGCCTCTAATCTAAACTTAATCCAATACTTAAAAATTAATTAAAGAAAAGGGGGTTGCTTGCTTTGCTACTTGGTAGCGCCACTAGCTAGGAGTCACCTTCCTTGAAGGTGACAAAAGGAGGGGTTTAGGTGTCACCCACATATTATTATTATTATTATTATTATTCTATCTTTAATGATGGTCCATTGACTTTATGGAGGACTTATCCACATACAAAATCTATTAATCTGTCTAAGGCCAATGTATCTTTCTTCTTCAATGCCTTTTTCTTCTATCTACTTCCCGATTATTTCCAACCCTATTTCTTTTTTTTCTTTTCCAACAAAAAAAATCCTTATTTTTATTTTCATTAAAGTCCAAATAACTAGCATATTTACCTTTAGTTTCATTTTCTTTCTGTACTTATTGGTTCACTAATACTGTCTTTTTTTGGTAATTTGTGTTTTTATAGTTCCTTGAGCCTAAATAAAAGAATGTAATATTCATATTAACATTTGGTAGATTTGTTTGTAAATTGAATCATAAAAAAAAAAAAAAATTAAATTGCAAGAAGATCAAATTTTTACTAAATTTTTTTCATTTTCTAGATTCAAATGTGATTGTGAGCAACTTTTACTCCGAGTTAAATATCATTGTTGATTATAGCGGTAACAAAGGTAAATAAAAATAAATTACTATATAGTCTTTATAATTATTTCTTGGTCTTTAATTTATAAAGAATGAACTGCTTTATCCGTCACTATAATATAATGTTAAATTATGACGGATTATATATAGTGTTAAATCATGAGGTAATGTTGATTATCAAACTTTTAAATTTAACTTTAAGCCCTTGACAAAATGGGTATTTAAGTCCAAAATTACCAACTTAATTGAAAAACTTATTTTTCTTTCTCATTTTTCGTTGTAATTTGACTTTAACCCTATAAAATTTTAACTTAAGATATTTTGTTTTAATATCTTTCTTACACTAATTAAACTCTCTTAAATGTCAAATGAATGACCATGCCCCTATTGAAGCTGACGGCTTTCGTTTCTGCATGCAAAATCAAAATCAAAATCAAAAAGCCAAAATTAAAAATAAATAAATAAAATTAAAAAACTCGGCGATCCAAAGCTCTGACAGATAAACAGACAAAAAGACAAACAACAAATTGCTGCCCGAAGACTCATGACGTCATCAATCTGGTCATTGCAATTTCCCCACGTGATTTTTTAAAACCAATTCTTAAATGTGAAGAAGCTGCGAAGAAACTTGTTTCACAATTAAAATAATATTAAAATCAAACCCCACTGTTTATAATTAAAAAATAAATGCATGAACCATTTCCCCTATAAATCCCTTAGAATTATCATTTCCGATTGAAGAAAAAGAAACAAAATACAAAAACCTCAATCGACACACCAAACCAAACACATAACAGAACTGTGTTTCCAGAAATGTACGGACAGACGATAACCGAATCCGATTTTGCTGTTCTTGAATCGGTTCGAAAATACTTACTTGGAGATTCGATTTCTATGTCTTCTTGCAATAATTCTACAATTAATCCCTCTGTTGTTCCTAGTACTACTCCTGTTTATTGCCGGAGCTCAAGCTTCAGTAGCTTGTACCCTTGTTTATCGGATAACTGGGGCGATTTGCCGCTCAAAGTCGATGATTCTGAAGATATGCTTCTCTACGGCGTTCTCCGCGATGCTGTTACTGTTGGTTGGGTCCCATCTCTAAGAACTGAGCCGCAGCCTGATTTTCCGCCGGTGAAATTAGAACCGGAGGAGATTTTTGCTGCTTTGCCGGAGATTGTGCCAACTCCGGCTACTGTACAGATGCCGGAGAGGATTGAGACTCAAGCTATGGTTTCTGTGGCTGCTGCTACTACTACGACGGCTCCGGCAGTGGTGCCCACGAAGGGGAAGCATTACAGAGGAGTGAGACAGCGGCCGTGGGGGAAATTCGCAGCGGAGATTCGTGACCCAGCGAAAAATGGGGCTCGGGTTTGGTTAGGGACATTTGAGACAGCGGAGGATGCGGCTTTGGCTTATGATCGCGCCGCTTATAGAATGCGTGGGTCAAGGGCGTTGTTGAATTTCCCATTGAGGGTGAATTCTGGAGAACCTGACCCTGTGAGAGTGACTTCAAAGAGGTCATCACCGGAGCCGTCATCTTCTTCATCATCGGGATCGGTGAATGGATCACCGAAGAGGAGAAAGAAGGTTGTCAGCTCCGGTACAACGCCGTCTGATACTAAAACAGTAGTGGCTCAAGCCGGATTAGAAATGGGAAATGCAGTTAGATATCAAGTGGCAGCAAGTACACATGGCGAGCATCTATTGGTTAATTAAAGAATAATATCGAATGTGAAAGCCTTAAACATTTTGAGAAAATAGAGTGGAAAAAAAAAAAAAAATGGTTAATTAAAAGAATAATATCGAATGTGAGAAGCCTTACAACATGTTGAAGAAAATAGAGAGTGGAAAAAAAAAAAAAAAGTGATACTGTAAATCGAAGCTATAAAATGTTTAGAGGCATTCCATAAATTTTTGAAGTTGGTTGAGGAGGGTTAAAAAAAAAAAAAAAAGAACTGTTTGGCTTGTGAATATAAAATTTGTTGTTTTATTAATTTTTATCCTTTAATGAAATATTTTCATTCTTTATGGTTAATTGGAATATTGTGGCTGATAAATACTCACTCATCTATCCCTGCATCGTTGATCCATTACACACTAACCATTTGCATTGCTGATAAATTATTTACTTGTATATTTAGTTAATTATAACTCATAATCTATTATTTTGTTACATAAAATAAATAAATAAATAAACTCTAAAATTGTTTTTTAATATAAATATATATAAAATAAAGTAATAATAATAATAAAAAAAAAGAATGGAGGAGTTGAAGATTCTTATGGATAATTCAGAAGTATAGTTTTCATATCCTGTGTACTGAGTCTTGACTTCCTCCATGGTTTCTTTGCTTTATTTATTTTTGGCTACATTCTGGATTCAGTACTACCAAAATTCATTGACAAGAATTGCAATAAGGCAATGAAGGAATGGATAGAAATATTCTCTAAATGCAAATAACATCATAAAATAACTTTTTTATATTATATTAAATTTTTGGTTCCGATTTCCATTAATGATAAGATGTTTATATGAATCCAAATTAATACATTTGTAAATTCTTTGCTTTAATTAAAACAATTAGCTTCATCTGTATATATTATGAATCAACTGAAATTTTAGAATCTTATATTAGTTATATTAGTTTAGGAAGCTATAAGGATGTCCCTCCGGAGTAATAAGGCTGATGTGTCTAGGCTTGAGTAATGGAGTAATAAGGGTGAATTCTGTAAATATTATTTATTTGAATGGGTCTTGTGGTTGAGATTCTTAGGGTGATTTGTTCACTTACTAGTGATATTGTCCACTATTTCTTCCTATTTTTTAGGCAACTTCTGTTACTACTCTTCTTTAGGCAACTTCTGTACTGACTCTTCTTATTTTAAAGTGGCGTGTATATTGGTAGAGTTTGATATAAAGAGATTATATTTCTATTAAAACTTTTTTCTTTTCTACTTGTTATCTTGGTTATCAGAGCAGTGAAGATCTTCCTATCATGGCTGTTTTCTTCAAACTCTGAATGTTGCCAACTTCGTCACATTGAACTAAAACAAACAAAATTATCCACTTTTGAGAGAGAACAAGTTTTGAAGTTTAGCTGAAAGCCCAGGAGTTATCTGATCACTTGATAACAGGCTCCTGAGATCAGAAATTCAATTCACCACTCAACCAATTCCCCGAAATTAACCAACCACAAATGTCCGATAATTATGGCAAAAGTCCGATCGAATACTCCGCGGTTGGATCTGTGGAACATTGAGTGAGGAATCGCTTGGCCTTGTAATCGGATTAGACACCGTTCATGCCGTCTGGAGGGCATTAAAAGATGCATATGCCCAAGACTCACAAGAGAGGGAATTTACCCTCCGACAGCAATTGACCTATTTTCGCAAAGAAGAGAATCGGTCGATCACCGAACATCTGCGATTGTTTAAAGAAATCTGTGACAATTTAGCAGCAATTGGGAAAACTGTTCCCGATGGTGAGAAAATATTCTGCCTTCTTACCAGTCTGGGTCCGCAGTACGAAACATTTACAACAACAATGCTCAAACCACCAAGACCGACGTTTAATGAACTGGTCTCACAACTGAAAAATCACGATCAGCGACGGATGTGGTTTTCCACACAATCCGAAATATTTCCACACAAATCCGAAATAGGAGTTGAACAAATCGCTTCTCATTGTGGCTCTATGGAAATACAAACAGACTTTGTCTAATTCCTCATCAAATCGGCGTCCTAAATTCAACTCACAAGGACGTGGTTTTTCAAGCTTCAACAAACACAAGGGCTATGGCCAACACAAAGAATCTAATTCTTTCTCAGCGACGACCTCCTCCGCCAGACGTTAGGGGAATGACACCAGCTGAACTGGGGAACAATATAAGAATTGAAGTCTGCCAATATGCAACAGAGGCTGGTCATGTAAGCTAAAATCTGTTGGTGGATTCCACAAAGACAAACAGACCCCAGGCCCGGCTCAAGCTTCTCACAGCAACTTACATTGGGATAACTGATGTCGTTGACCACCGATTGTAGCAGATTCTGGTGCGTCGAACCATATGACAGGTAATAAAAAAATCTGTTACATAAGCTTACAGAACTACTATGGACTGATTCTATAACCATGGAGATGGAAACTTTTTCTTCCTATCGATGGTGTTGGAATTGACTTCCATAGAACAGAAACAAAATCTACCCTATTTCAATGTTTTTGCTCAGTTCCTGCTTTAAAAAAAGAATTTGTTGTCTATAGGCCAAATTAACAGATCATATCCAGTCAATTGTGAATTCCTAATGTTTCTATTTCTGTAAAGGATCGACAAACGGGACAAGATACTGCTACGAGGACCGCGGAAAATAATCTTTATTTTTTGTCAGGAAATCCCAAAAGCACATTATTCCAATCGGTTTAAGGAACTGTTTGACAGCAGACCATTTTTGGGCATTCAACGATTGGCCATCCTCAATCATCTACAATTTCTGTTTTATTTTAACAAGAATCTTATTAGATGTTCAAGGTTCCTTGCATTCAAAATCTTTTATGTGATAGTTGTCAGTTTAGGAAGTTAGTAAGATTTCCATTTCAGTTTGCTTCGAATAATAGTTCCTCTGTGTTTGAAAAAATTCATTGTGAATTTATGGGGACCAGCCCCTATTTTATCTTTTTGCAAAATTTTCCAAATATTATGCTTGTTTGGTTGATGATATTTCTTAAATTATTTCGTGGCTTATACCCCATTGCACGGGAAAAAATCTGGGAATTTTTGTTGCGTATCAAGCATTTGAACAATATGTTCTTTCGACAATTTGGGAAGACAATCAAAATCTTCCATTCACGATGGTGGAGGAGAATTTTTAAACACTGCTTTATCTTCACATTTTCCTTGCCACAGGGAATTTAAACATCAAGTCTCTTGTCCAACATACACCTGAGCAAAACAGGTAAAGTGAGCGACGGACACCGTATTATTCGTGAATTAGGACTAAAACAAATGATGTATCATAGTCATGTGCCATTGTCTAATGTGGGTTTTGAAGCTTTTTTCAAATGCTGGTTTTTTTAATGAATAGGTTTGCCATCTTCAGTTTTAGGACATGACACACCATATTATAAATTGCATGGTTCTCATTTTGATTATAGCTCACTGCGTGTATTTGGTTCTAAATGTTTTCCGTATATTTGGGACACCAAACGACATAAGTTTGATCCTAAATCATGCTTATGTGTTTTTTTAGGCTATAGTGAAAAATACAAAGGGTACAAATGCTTCAGTCCTATAACAAAAAAATTCATTATTTCTCGTCATGTGAGCTTTGATGAAACTTCTTCGTCATGTGAGCTTTGATGAAACTTCTTTCCCATACAAGTCTACTTCCTCTGATAAAATGTTTGCTGTTCAGCTTATAGACTCTTGGTTACCGTCCTCTGAAGCTAACAATTCTGCTTTAAGCTCTGCTGAAAGTGCAGGTACATCTTCATTACCAGAGAATGTCACAGCTAAACAAGACAATTTGGTCATACAGAGTGGAGGTCCTGCAACTCCTACACCACCAGTAGTTACTGCCATATTTGACCAGCCATTTGAATCCACACCAGTTTCAGACCAAGTTCCTGCACTTGTTCCTGCTCCTTTACTACTACCAGCAGCTACCACACAGCAACAAGACCAACTTCAAGAACTTGTTATGCCCCTTTCCCCGGCAGAACAGGAACAAGCTGCACCAACGTCGTCATCAACGACGTCGTCGTCAACGTCACCTATAGCAGCAAACATTGAAATACACTCCCCTGCAGAAACTGAGTTGGTTGATGATCATCCAACTGCCACAATTCCTCAACCCGATTCCTTGCTCACTTTCGATTCACAGGACATGCCACTAGCTGTCACTGCAGCTGAACAAGAGGTTAATTCCCCAGAAACTTGCAGAGATCAAGAAGCATTGTTGCCTGAAGATGGACTGTCCACACCGAGCTTGACACCGACTGGTTCCACCTCTTCGACTGCAAACTCAGATGATCAGGTTCCCGATGAAGCATTGCAACCTCGACACGCGATGGTCATAAGATCGCAATCAGGTATTGTAAAACCCAATCCTCGATATGCTTTGAATGTGTCTAAATCTTGTGATATTCCACCTGAGCCTAAAAGTGTCAAAAGTGCTCTTGCACATGAAGGCTGGAAACAAGCTATGATTGATGAGTTCCAAGCTTTACATTCTAATCAAACTTGGATACTAGTTCCATGACCACAACATGTGAAGACCACAACATGTGAATATTATAGGGTGTAAGTGGGTTTTTAAAGCTAAACTTAATTCTGCTGGGACTTTGGATAGATTAAAGGCACGACTCGTAGCCAAGGGGTTTCATCAAAAAAATGGTGTCGACTACACTGAAACCTTTTCCCCTGTCATCAAACCAGGCACTATTAGATTAGTACTATCAGTTGCTTTAGTGAAGCAGTGGCCGATACGTCAATTGGACGTTAAAAATGCCTTCTTGCATGGGTTTATAACCGAAGATATTTATATGGATCAGCCACCTGGGATGCGAGATCCTACTTATCCCGATCATGTTTGTAAGCTACAACGTGCCTTGTATGGGTTGAAACAGGCTCCTAGAGCCTGGTTTAATCGGTGAGTACTTTTCTCATTTGACTATGGTTTTTACCATTTGTAGTTTGGCTGATCCCTCTTTGTTTGTCATGCATACATCAAACGTATTCTTTGCGTACTCATATATGTAGATGATATTGTTTGTTAACAGCGTCTTCTATGGCTCTAGTTCAAGATTTTTTTTGCAGGATTGAGCAAGGAATTTTTCTATGAAAGACCTTGGGCCATTGCCATTCACTTTCTAGGAATTCAAGTCCAAACCATTGATGCTGGTTTACATTTAAATTCAGACACGCTATGCAATCTCAATTCTTAGGAACGAGCTCAAATGGTTGATTGGTCAGCCAATGCCAAAATACCGCTTGTCCAACGAAAATGAAG